TCCCTACTTCTCCTTCAGCCCTGTAACACGGGACACAGCCAGTGCAGCCTGTCCTACTCTATTCACCATTCGCTTCCTGGCTGAAACTAGACTGGAAAGCGAGCCACATGCACACAAATTCAAGGGAACAACCTGAACACCTTGCCTACTCCCTGTCTCTAAGGCAACAATTTTCTGTGTATCTTTTAATAGCAGTACAAACACACAGCAAATTCAAAAGCATTAGAGTAAAAAACAACTCAGATTCCCTTCAGAGATCATCTTTACCAAGAGTTTTCTCTGCATGGTCAAGCAAATAAAGGGAAACAGATTCCAGTGATATTTTCACACAGAATTTCTGATTTTCAGGAACAAAATACTGATTTCAAGCAGCAAGCGCATTTGTGTCTATAGATGTCCCCCATAACACACATGGCTACCACCACAGAGGCACTGCTCCGCACCCCACTTCTCACTGTACAGCAGGGCCTGAACCAGGCTTGCACCAGCAACATCCTCAGGGGCTGCCCGCCCCTGGTTCTTATTTTGGGGACAGAGACACTTTGTTGCCCAGAGCGGCCAGCCACTGCCTCCCAGTCACTGGGACTCAGGTGTGCCCCGCACCACCTGCGCTGTGCTGCTTCTCTCTGGATGACCTCAGAAGCTGCTCTACATTCTGAGGGCAGCAGCATTTCCCATTACACCGTCTTAGTATTCACTCTTCAGACCCATAATGCCTAGCCATAAAACAACTACCTTACGTGCCACTAAGAAAGGCAGATGCCAGTTCTAACTATAACACACAAATAAGACATGTCTGATTTTGGCTTTTTTTTGGTACCGGGGATTGAATTTAGGACTTGCACTTAAGAGGCAGGCGCAGTGCCACTGAGCTAAATCCGAGGCCTGTTCAGGTTTCTAAGGCCTAAAACTAGATTATCTCAAATTCCGTTAAAATTAATTTAAATATATACTATACAATAGCAGTGTTAACAGTAACCACTTATATAGCATGTTTGTTTTTATTTATTTTACTTAATTTTTGCATTACTGGCAACTGAACCCAAAATCTTCACGATCAGCTATGTCCCCAACTCTTTTAGTATTTTATTTTAAAACAGAATTTCAGTAAGCCACTAAATTATCAAGGCTGAGCCTGAACTTGTGATCCTCCTGCCCAGAAGACTGGGATTACAGGTGTGGGGCACTATGCCTGGCTACAGTCTTACACTTCTTGTGAGGTGGCTTCATCCCTATGACCACTACATGAAAAGGCAGGCAGAGATTATACTTCGTATTTATTCCTGAGGGAAATAATTCAGTGATGGTAACTTTTCCCTTTACTTAAATAGCAACGTAGCACTTAACTCAAACTTACATCACAGGTTTCCAAAATGCTAACACTGCCTTCATACCTGGCACCAAGTACTTTCACACAAAAATAAATGAGAGCCCCTATGCTCGGAGAGCTTGAAGCAGTACATCAATTAGATATCTGGATTGATTTGTTAAATCTGTACCTGAAAGGAGCAGGCAGGCACAAGTGTAAAACATGTAGAAAACATGGTCTCTGGTCTGAACTTTGGAGGTCACCCAAGTTAAAAAAAAAAAAAAAAAAGCACAACTAGCTGGATGTGGTGGCGCACGCCTGTCATTCCAACATTTGGGAGGCTGAGGCAGGAGGATCACGAGTTCAGAGCGGCCAGGGCTGCAGGAGCTCAAGGCCAGTCTGAACTACATAGTAAGATCCTGTTTCAAAACAAAGCAAAACACGAAGTGGAAAACAAAACAAAACCAAAGCAGAGCTGAGTGGGCTGGAAATGAACCTGCAGAGCAGAGTCACGGATCACTCACAGCCCCATGCATGGGCTCTTTCTGGCCAGCCAGCACAATTAGCACCTTCCTTAGCTCAGGAAGTACGCTGGCTGTCTATATATTTCGATGAGATATGAAATTATATCAGACCCCACTCATTTTTTTCTAGGGGCTGAATTTTTGTTAGAGATAAAAATACAAACAAATCATCAAGCGGCACTTAAGACTCTACAGCAAAGGAAACTCAGGCACCATTTCTGGGCTATACTGGCTGACTAGACGTATTTGGTCGCAAAATAAAGATTTTGAACTACACTCCATTACATTTCAAAGCTGCCAAAAGGTTATAAAATACTTCAAAACCGAACCCAGTCCAATTACCACCAGACACAATCATTCACTCTTGCTTCTGTCTGAATTAAACATGTCCCTCTGTTTCCACAATAAGCAATTGTCTGTATTTCTCATTAACAGGGCTTTCTTTGTGATACCTTCTTCAGATGATACCTTGTCCGCATCTTTCTTATGTCTTTTATTTTTTAACACTAACAATAATTGGCTTGCAATATAAAAGTTCTATAACTTTGAAGTACTTTATAATAAACAATGAGAACAAAAGGCAAATACGAAAATTAAAATATTACAAAGTGAATTTACAGCACTCCCTTATCCCCAACCCTTCCCCCTGACAAGATCCCTGCCTGGGGCCCAGGGACTAGCACTGTGGTAAGCAAACCTTTAAAGCTTTCACAAAAACAGGCTGAAATGGCCAGGTTTAAATGTTAGCGAAAATAACTAAGTTTGCGTGGGTGGTTGCATGTTCACTATATCAGTCTTCTAAACTCGAAAGGGAGAACTGAAAGTTCTTAACGAACTTATGTAAATGTAAAGCCCAGAAATCACACACGGTACTTTGTACAGACAACAGGAGGAGGCGTTATTGCCACACTACAACAACCAGAGCTCTCTCAGCAGTTGTTTGCAGCAAAGGTTTAGTACAGTGTAGCTGTCATAGCCTGCCTCAGCGTACCACAAGTGCAGCTGTATTCTAAGTCAAGCCACAGGCGAATCCCACAAAGAGCTGTGGGGGAGAGACAAGCCCACTGCTGCGGACACTAAGAAACAAGTTATTAAAAAGCAAACTCAGGCTGGGTGTCGTGGCGCACACCTGTAATCCCAGCACTCGGAAGGCTGAGGCAGAAGGATCGCTGTGAGTTCGAGACCAGCCTGGGCTACATAGTGAGTTCCAGGTCAGTCTCAACTACATAGAGAGACCCTGCCTCCAAAAATTAAAAAATAAAAAAACAAAAAATGTGCAAACTCAGCCCTCAGTATTGGAAACAGACTATGGCTCCATCTTTTCTAAGGATAAAGGAAGTGCACTAGCCATTTAAGAGGTAAATCTCCCCCCAACAACGCACACACTCAACACCACCAAACTGTAAGCAGAAACTTGGGGATGGGATGGGTGTGACGGTGGGCAGCTGGTGCAGCTCATCAGAGGACTGGGGTGCATGCTAGGACTGGCTTCGGCTCCCAGCAGCCAGAGAGACACAGAGACAGAGAGAGAAAGACGTATGTGACGGTAAATTTTGTTTTGTGTTTTTATTAAAGCCACAAAAGAAAAAGGCTGGGAATATACCACCACGTGACACCATGTGAGAGGCACTGAATTCAAGTCTCATATATCAAAAGCGTGCGCGCGCGCGCGCGCACACACACACACACACACACAACCAAGGACAAATCGTTTAAGTAGGCTTAAAACTTTCCTTGTGTATGTGTGCGTGTGTGTGTGTTGTTTTCACATGAATAGATTAATGAGTTAGTATTTACTATGTGCCTGGGACCACAGAGATGGAAATAAAATATGGATAAAGCCTAATTCTTTTCAAGGAGCTCAAAATTTTGAGAAGCAAAATTGGAATTTTTTTAAAAAGTTGTTTTAGTCATTTGTAGCTGAGTATCTGTTTACCTCTTCCTTCTTAAACATATGCACACAGAATGTACATGCAGACATGTATGTATACATACGTATAGAATATACACATAGACAGCACAGACAGATAGGCGGGCAGCTATCTGACAGACGTCTACTACTGTCTCTCTGTGCTCTTGCTTAAGTCTGCTGCTCAACGTGATTCTGAGATGCAATCAGAAGGGCTTGAGTGAGACGCCCCCACCTCGTGTGCCCGAATAAAGAGCAGCAAACAACAGTGTGTTCAGATGCTCGAATAGGGGAGGCATTAGACAGTAGATAGACAGACAGTGAGAACCAGCTTCCTGCATGTCACCAGAGAATACAATTTGCAGAACTTTGAAGGCAAAAGTTTAATGACTAAACCATCATATTTTATTCATGTCCTCTTGTTCCTCTCAACACCTGTACTGCTGAAACCTCTCATTCATACTGGAATCTCACTTCCAAAATGCAAAGAATTGGCCATCACCAGCACATCCACCTCCCTACAGCCCCCACAGTCAGAGGCAGAGCACTGCGCCCTGTCACTCACACCCAAGACAAGCACCTGCTCTCCCACCTGAGAGAGCTGAAAGTGGATATGGTCAGTTGTTTTCCAACTAGCAAGAACTCAGAAACAGAAATGCTGGTATTTTCTTTTCACCCAGATAACGAGTACAGCCACAAGAAAAGATAAATGTGATAGAAACTTGAAGCTGTACACCTTCTAAAGCCTGATCTGACCCCGAGAAACAAGCCCTCTGCTTGGGGAACTAAGGACACCTCTGTTTTCATGTTTCACGTAGGTTTTCTCTCCACCACTCCATGAATCTGATCACAGAAGAAAAGAGCCAGAGAAATGGCCAGCTTCAGAAAGACAAAAGTTAAACTCTGCTGCTGAATGATTCTCTCCACAATCCTAAAGCCACAGTCCCTATCACTGAAAGGCACAACTGCATTCTTTTACTGCACCCACCCACCACCTCCACACACACAGAATATCTAAACACACTGCATACACAGAGTATTTGGCCTGCATGTTTAATGAGACAGCAATTACTCCTGCAGATTACTGGCACCTAGGAGGCTACATATAACCACTTAAAACAGGAGGAAACTATTCTAGAAGGGGTCAGGTGGGGGGAAAACCCAAACAGTTTTTAAAAAACACAACAGATAAATTCAAGTACAAGATTTGCATCACCAACATTGTTTCCTTTTTTTGTTTGTAAATTTAAAAACTTACCCTGAAGAGATTTTCCCAATCCCTGGCCCAGCTTCCACCCATGTTTCTGGAGTAAGCGATGTCCAATATTATCCTGACAGACAGAACAGAGAGACAAACCAAAAATATTCCAATAATATATTCTTCCCTTCCTAGTGACACTTAACAGGTGATGGGCAAGAGATAATCTACACATATGCATGCAAAAAAAGATGCTATAACAAGGTAAATTTGCCCAACAAAGGGGACGTTAATGTAAAAAGAAATGCTGGCTAGTATTTTATATGGGAAGAATATATGGGTAGAGAGTCCTTTCTGATGGTGTGCTGGGCAACTTTTGTACATAACACTTTAAAAGGGAGCAAAAAGGGGAAGGAAAAGGGGAAAGTATACATTTATGAAAATTCCAAACTAACATTAAAAAGCATAAAATCAAGGTACTTAAACAAAGTATCCACCACCTAGACAGGCCCACTTTTAAGATTTTTCTTTAAAAAAAGAAAATCTACATTGTATTCAGTTATTTTGTTTATGTGTCAGGCTTTCATGATACAAAGTAAGTTGTAAGACTGCCCCACCACTAGAAATGAAAAAACAATCAGCAAAATCCAGTCTAGACTTGATTGGTTTTAAACATATAAATATATAAAATATAAATATTAACTAGCATGCAGCCAATATTAAACTGAAAAAACAGTGAGGTTAGTAAAACAAAAAATTAAATTGACTAAACAGAAAAAAATGAGCTCAAGCACAGACTGAGTGATGCATTTCAACATGTAGTCTAACAAAAATGCTAAGATGTTAGAATGGAACAGGCCTGGCATAAGTTACAGTAAGAACCGTTAGTGCACACAGGGAACCAACACACATAAGGTCTCATCTTCCCAGCTGAATGCAGGAACAGCTGATCCAGGGGAAGTTATAAGAAGACACCAGAAACAATAATAAAGTCAGCTTTTGTGTAAAGGGTCCTGAGGTCAGGAACTTTTACAGCACTCTGTCAAAACTCTCTGCTTTTTATTTTTATTTTGGTTTGTTTTTATATTGTGAAGTACCAAGAAGAAACTCAAATAACCATTAACTGTCAGAAGAAAATGATGCTACTCATCAAAAAAAAAAAGTATTTATTTTATTTATTTATTTTTTTGGTACCAGGGATTGAACTCCTGTGCTTGCGCTTGCAAGGCAGGCCACCGAACCGCTGAACTAAATCCCTGCCTGCCCCCAAAAATAAAGTATTTAAAAATTGAAAACACAGGGCTGGGGTGTAGCTCAGTGATAGAATGCTTGCCTAATCTGCGCAAGGCCCTGTGTTCAATACCCACAAGGGGTGGGGTATGTGTGTGTGTGTGTGTGTGTGTGTGTGTGTATCTATACACACACACACACACACACACAGTGTTTAGCACATACTTATAGTATTAATTTAATATCACCATTTGAATTCTCATATTACATGAAATTAATTTATAAAGATAACAAAACCACAAATCTTTCATTAAAATCAAATCTCATGTTAAGGTGTTTATCATCCAGCTCCATATTTAATGATCGAATGTTCCTTGTAGTCAGACAACAACAAAAAATATTTATATAATATTTTCTATCACCTCTTATAGGTAGTTAGAAGCGCCCCATCCTCTGGGCTTGGTTTTTATTTTATTTTATTTTTGGTACCGGGGGTCGAACTCAGGTCCTTTTGCTTGCGAGGCAGGTGCCGGAACCACTGAGCTAAATCCCTGGCCCTGGGCTTGGTCTTTAAATAGACAAGTTTATGTCAGCATGCAAACTACAAAACTGGGCTGAGCAGCTGATTACTGAAGTATGAGGGAGATAAGATGCCTTTTTTAAAACAAAAAATGGAGGCAAACTATAGAACTGAAAGAATCAGAAACACCAAAAGTGATGACTCTCACATTATTAGATATCACAGAAATTTAAACCAACACTCGTTGCTACTTCCTTTCTCCCATGCATTTCCAGGAAAAAGCATGCTCTAGCCAGTACTGAATCTGTCTACTTATGAATAACTATTATTCTTTTAAAAATTAAGAGTCTGGGGATGTAGCTCAATGGCAGCACTTCTATCATTCATTCACGAGGTCCTGGGGCCCAATCCCAGCATCAGAAAAAATAAAAATGAAAAGTTTCATTATATAAGTAATTTCAGCAGAAAAAAGAATGGTAAAGAGGCCCTTATTTTCCTAGTATGAAAATAAACTTACCTGACATAAAGTCTTTATTACATCTCAAAGTTTCTACTACTAAAACTCTGGAAAAGACTAAGTAAGTTGATTCCACTATTTTTAAACTACCACTAGACGAATGCTGTAACTACATCTGACACTGAGAGTCTTAGATATTAAACAATGCTGACAAAAATTGTTGTCCGCCTTCGTTTTGCTGTGCACTTTTGTTTTTGCTGTTCATTAAAAGAACATGCCACCTCTGGCTAGGTGGAGATGAGACATTATGCTGACTGTGTTAAATCATGAATGCACTAAAATAAACAGACAGATGAAGCAGTATGCTATTTCCAAAAGCAGTGCAAGTGGAGTGAAAGCATTTCCATACGAACCTGGCTTTAAAAACTGGGCTGTCAAAAGAACAGTTAAATGTAACACAAAGTAAGAAACTGTCCGATCACTAATGGTCTTTTTTTTTTTTTTGTCTTGTTTTCAATTCACTGCTTGCAAGTAAAGTAGTCATTAAAGGAGCGTGAAAGCATAAGTAAATTCACGAGAGTCGAGAGCAGCGAGTGGTGACTGACAACAGTGGAAGGAAAGCCAATGTTAAAGGGAGGGAAGAGAAAAACCAAGGGCCGTACACATCAGCACACCTAACAAACCCACTCAAGAAGATGGCTGTCACCTTTGCCGGAGAAAGCGCCCAGACAGAACAGTGTGGTGTTCTCCCTGAAGCTTAGGTTCAGGCTCTCTAGTGCGCTCTGCAGAGGATGAACCTCGGCAGCCGCTACACAGTAACAGTAACCTGCTCTAGGAGCCCTGGTGACCCCCTTAGGCAGCCCTTCCCCAAGAAGTGAGCAGGCCAGAAAAGCGCACACACCCACCAAAGCAGCTCTACCCTAAATGATCCCCAAACCTGCATGGTCAATCACTAGCCTGCAGAAAATGATAATCAATGTTCTCTGCCTGGGGCTGTGAACTTGCATGGATGCTATCACAGGAAATTGGCACAAAGGAACTCACGGCTCTAACAGAAATCTAGACAGAATTACAGGCAGTGAGCACCAACTTGACTTCTAAACTATGAGGAAAAAAATCTTAAACAAAACTAATAGTCACTATAAGAATACCAAAAATCAGCACAGTGTAACAGTGCGTGACTATAGTCCCAGCTATGGGAGGCTGAGAAAGGAGGATCACTTGAGCCAGGAGTTCAAGACCAAGTGGGCAATACAAGACCTCATTCATTTCAAACAACAAAAACTGACTAAAAAAACATTTTGTTTTTGTCTTTAAATAAATATGTAATTTGGGGCTTAATTATAATCTCATAGAACCAAAGGTATACTTCACTAGATAAAGGGTATGTGTGTGTGTTGCTAGTGGATTGAACCAAGGGCCTTTGCACTAAGCCACATCCCCAACCCCTGCCCTCTTTTTTTACTTTTTATTTGAGGCTGGATCTTACTAAGTTGCTAAATTGCCCAGGCTGAGCTTGAATTTGTTATCCTCCTGCCTCAGCTTCCCAGGGTGGTCGAACTACAGGCAGGTACCACCGTGCACGACCTTTTTTTTTTTTTGGTGATTGTCTTAAAAACTAGTCAGGTTTAAAAACAAGAACCAAGATATATCATGTAAAGATACAAGATCCCAATGATAAATGTAACTGTACTGTTTGCTTTAAATGTACCAACAAACTTAATGAAAAAAAAAAAAGTCCAGTTTGCAACAAAGGTGCATGGCAATGGTGGACTATTTACCTAAATACTCCTTTAGATGAATTATAAGGGATGACCTTCCCCTGGGCTGCTAAGCAAAGGGTGGGTTTCCACGTGACTCAGTCACACTCAGTACTCAGATCCCAAGTGGGAGCTCTGTAAAAACTCACTGGCTGGAAAGGAGCTTCTTCTAATTGTGATCAAATCATGAGATTGGGCTGAAAAATCCCCATTTTTTTCCAGCAGGACTAAATTATTTCAGCTGGCCTTCTGTTTCTAAATTTGAATGTGCAGTTAAAAAGCTGCATTTCCAACCTCTGCTCCTCTCCACTCATGTAAGAGGGAGACTTTTCAAATGGGAAGATCTTTGAAGCAAGAAATGTGCATTCTAAACAACTACCCATATGCTGAAAACATGACACCAGCAAGCAAACACCCCAGTAACTATTTCAGCTATTCCTCAATCTTTTTATTTATGAATTAAATATCAAGTAGAAAGCTTTCCCTGCAATGTTTCTGTTCCAGCTGTTGATCCACCGTAAAGAGCATCATTCTGGCAACGGCAACACCGTGTATGGCAGGGGCCTGCAAAACACACCTGAAAACTTACTTTATTGTATGGGGTCAACTCCCAAATTTTATAGCAGGAGGAAGAATATTGTTGTCTCAAGAAAAATATACTACAAGTACGTCAGTGACTAGACGAGCACCAGCTCCACACTGGATTTTCTTTTAGTTGACAGCCACATTGTTTACACAATTTGACAGTGACAAAAATGTCTCTTGAGTGGATTGTAAGCTTTGCTGATTGTGTACTAAAGATTCTATAAGCAAGAACCAAATGCTACTAGGTGAACCCATGCAAATGACAAGTTGTAAAAACTCCCAAAACAAAAACTCTATAGCTCACTACAGATGACACAATGAAGACCGGAGGGAAAAGCCAGAGTGATGCTACACCATTCAGCTCTAAGAAGCACGCTATTTATAGTGCAGGCCACGTATGGTCACTGCTAAGTGTCAAATCAGCATCTCAGAGTTACATTTGGAACTAGTGGAGTCCACAGATCTGAACAGATATGCAATGTGACAAAAGCCCAACTATGCTTCTCCATCTCTAGGTGTGCAACTAAATATGAGCCCTAGAATTTGAAAACTTACCTAATTTTTAAAATCTATCAATCAACTGACAGCCATGAAGCCAGGGTTTTACAATAAAAACCACCTAATGGCCAGTGGTACCTGGATGTGTGGAGGTGACAGCGCACTCTGGGTCTCAGCTGTGGTGCTGCCCTCTGCCTGATCCCTTGTCTCCTTGCTGAGAAAGGGTCCTAAGGACCAGGCATGCCACCAACACCAGCGACTGCAATGGAACCCTCAGCTGCACTGTGGCTTAGCTTTGTCTTCGAGACATTTTACCTTTAAGTATATGGAAGTCAAAATTATAATGCGGAGATCTAAAAATCTCATAAAGCAACAAGGACTTTTAAAGTTCAAGTTAAAAAAGGGGGGTTTTTTGTTTCTTAAAGGATAAAATGTAGCCAGACACAGTGGTGTACGCATATAATCCCAGCCAACCTGGAGGGTGATGCTCATGGATCACAGGATTGCGGACAGTCCAGCAACCTAGCAAAATTCCGTCTCAAACAAGTGGCTGGGGCTGCAGCTCAGTGGCAGTGTACTCAACTATCCTGTGTCAGGCCCTGGTTGGACCCCAGCACTGCACTAAATACATGTACAAAGACACAAAAACTACAGCTGTGTCCAGGTGTGGTGGATCATACACCCACAAGAAGATGTCAAGTTTGAGGCCAGTCTAGGCAACTCAGGGAGACTGTTTCAAAACAAAGGTAGAGAGGAGCTTCAGCGGCAAACTGCTCAGCTTACTTACTCCCCTTACACTGCCAGAAAGTTAACCACTCTGCACTTTCACTTTAATGCAGACAATCAGGCGGTCAGGAGATTCTTTCTTAATCTTGACTAGAAATTTCACTGAAGGATATTTGTATGGTTGGAATAAAGAAGGGAAACTGAGACTTTGCACCAAATATTAAATCCTTCACAAACATTGGATTTTGAAGTGTTGTCACCATTTGCCCACTGAAGCTAAAATACCTGCTGACGTCTCACTGAAACTCCAGGCTCGCTAGAAGCACAGCGCATGGCTGCATCTCCAGTCTCATTTCCCGCCTTGGTGGTATGCATCAAAAGTGCCTTACTGCAACATGGAAGGCCTGAGCCCTGTACTCACAAGAACCCTCACACGAGCATACTCTTGGCACAAACCTGTGCAGAGACTCCCATGGCTACCAGCTGCTGCAGATTACCTTGGCTAAAAAAGAAGACTAGACCTTTAGCTCCTGAAATGATCTGTAGACTCCCAAAGCTGAGTATTTCCAGCCACTTTTGAGTTGCATGCTGTAGCAAAACAGTCAGCGCCTCTTGATAGATATTGCTGCAGAGAAAGATCTTAATTCAGCAGGGACTCTTTCTGCATGAGAAGCAACCCCACTTCCCTGACCCACACAGCTTACACAGCCAGCCAGCCGGCCAGAGTCAGTGTGGTTACTGTTTGCTGGGCATCGCTGGGAACAGGGACTGTTTCTGCTGAGGGGAGGGCAAGATACTTTTCTAAAATGCCAATCACTGCGGGAGTTTCTTTTAAAACTTTATTTTATTCCCAAATGATCAGGCAGCAGAAATAAGACCCTCCCTCACTGTGTGAGTCCACATCTATCTAACACAATGAAGGCTGGGGGTGCTACCAGTCTACACCTAAACTATGGCATCCCAGACGGTACGTACATTTATGTGCTTCATGAGTAATTTTTACTAGAAGTATAAATAATATGTTACATATCTGTGAACGTTTATTAAAAAACTAAATATCCAATCAGATTATTATACCATCTGCTATTTTAAGAAGAGAAGACAGAGCATTTAATAAATACGGGACCTGCCCAATGAGACTGCCCAACCAGAATGTCTTGACAGTGTGCTGTCTAAAACCAGCATGGGCAGTGTGAGGTAAAACAGCATTAGCCTCAGTAGGAATGAATTTTTGAAAAAACTTAACGTGCCCCTGGAAGGCAGCTTCAAACTATTAAATATCACTCAGAGACTTTAAAAACATCTCCTTGAGTAGAGCAGGATGATACACTGCAGTCCAGGCTACTTAAATCCCCTGCCACAGTCAGGTCAGGTGCGTACAGACCTGCAGCTGTCTAAGGTGCTCACCAGCCTTGAGTTGCACAGGGTATGGCTCTGGGCCTTTGCTGCTGGCTGGCTGTTCTTCAACTTTGATCCAAAGGAACAAAATTAAATAAAAATAGAAAAATTAGATTATTTTCAAATACAAGACACTGATTTTTAGCTACCAATTTCACTGTAAAGCTCTGCCTTGTAATAAGCCCTGAGGTGATGAGGAGCAAAGTGCAAACCTGAGTTAACTGGGTGGGTGGGCGTGGCCTTGGGCCCTGGAGGCAGCACACGGACTGGCCTTTCCACCCGGTGTGTCTCTCCCTCTGCAGCATTATCACATGCGTCACCGTTAGGGCCATGCCTGAGTCTAGCATCATGCCAGCACATTGAGACAGAAGGTACTGTATGCAGTGTTCACTGGACCAGAAGGATAGAACGAGAAGGGGAGGTGGGGAGAAAGAAACCCTAAGAGAAGAAATTTTAAAAAGGCAGACCGTGCAATACAAACCAGATCATGGCTGCTTAGCTAATATGGGCCAACTGCTGTGGAAGAAAAATGTCGAACACCCCAAGTTGTGTAAATTTCTGTAAACATCTAAACACACACACAAATACAACACCAACCTAATTAGGAACATAAATATATATATGTTGAACCTTTACTATGTCACAGGTTTAAAAATAAAACTAAAGTTCAAGGCTCTTTCCCTAACTTGCCTCATTATTTTCCTTCAGGAAAGATGCTATGTTTCTTAAACGGGGAGAGGGGCTTGTTTTGACTAAGATTAGGATTCCCTCTGAGTTTTATCTCCAATCAAGTTTTACCCACAACTCAACAGAACCCCTATAAAAGAGGTACACTTAAACACAAATATTAAATGCTGACAATAATGACAAGTTTAGACATTTTAACAAAGAGCTATGTTATTTAAAAATAATAGGTTTTTGGGATGAAAATAATGTTCAAAAATTAAAGAGTTTTTAAAATTAAGAGACAGGAAAAATAAATATCCTTGTTTTATTTCGTGGTATCATTAATGTTTCTAACTAATCAGTGTAAAGAGACAGAAACAAGCAGGTGTGGTGGTGCACACCTGTAATCTGAGCCCTCTGGGAGGCTGAGGCAGGACTACAAGTTCGAGGCTAGCCTAGGCAACTTACCAAAACCCTGCCTCAAATTTTTTTAAAAAGAGGCTTAGAAGGTAACTCAGTGCAAAGGCTCTGGGGTCTAATCGCCGGTATGGAAAAACTCAACTTTTGGGAAGAAAAAAAAAAAAAAAAAAAAAAA